AAAAGATTAATATACATATATTATTTTGTTAGATTTATATATCATGCTATGAACTTTCTTTCGAAAAGTTTCTTTCAGTTAAGCAAGAGAGTTGGTGTGTACGAGTAAGAAGATGCTTCGTCTAGGTTCTGCTCTAACATAGTTCCACTCGCAAAGAACTGTTTACCGAATTTCGATGTCTTGAACACTGGGAGAGAGGCGAAGGCAAAAGTTTACAAACTTCTCTTCCAGTGTATAATTAAATAGTACTTAGAGCCGCAGTTTACGAGGCTATTCGCTATCCTGTTGACGACAGTTTACGTATAAAGGTGTGTTGTGAACAACCAGCACATAACCTTTTCGACGCAACGCCCTATCCCAAAGGATTTGCATATTGTTCACTTCATGCCAGAGACACGAATTCCTCGAAGAGAAGATAAAAAAGATCACTATATCTCTCTTATACCGTATATTTAATTAATATTTTAATAATTTAATTATACATTTATTTATTAACTAATTTATTTAATTATTTGATATCTAATTGCCAAGAATTATTTAGGAACTAGCAGAATTCTAATATCAATTTTCCAATTTTACAAAAGATTGTTTTTTAAAAAAACAAATCAATTAAAAAAGAAAAAAATTTATGCAATACAGAGTTGTTGGTGATTAATGTTCCAAGAGCTGTCTGTACAACGAGATTCTCAATTTTTGTTAAATCATAGTGTGCAGCTATTGTTGGAGAAAGATCGTTCCTGTAAATCTGTATCATAACCAGAGCCAAGCTATGATTAATGAACCACAGAAATTCCTAACCTTCATTTTCTTGGCTCCACTCTCTCATCAACATTTGATCCAACGTAAAAGGATCGACGCGATTTCGCGTAATTTTCATTTTACACGCCGTGTTATTATTATCTCTTTCCGTCGAATTTTTCGTCGAAAGTAAGAGGATTAAAAGGATTCCTAAACGACGAGCATTATACGCTTATCTTCTTGTAGCTCATTTAAACTCATGGCCTTTTATAGCATTAGTCTTAGTGTAGAGACAATTCCTAGAGAAAAAAAAGTGGATGGATCAAAGCGATTCGTACGCTTTTTGTGGAATATTCGAATGAAATGTTATTATGTAAAAAGTTGTAAAAAATTACAAGAGTATTAGATTAGGAGGAAGACTTTTTATAATGGAAATGGCCAATTTCACAAATCAATCGAAAGATAAGCGAGTAAACGTGTCTTTGAATTTTACTTCGAGCTTGAAAGCTTTTTAATTATTATTCGATGGACAATAGTTTGATTGATATTATTTCCAATAAGTCAAAATTCTTATATTAAGAATTTATTCATTTTATCTGCAACAACGTAAGAATAAAATTTAATAGATAATAGAACAAGTAAGAACAATATAAATAATAATATAAAAAGAATTATCCGAACAACAATTTAATTAATAATTCAAAAAAGAAAGAGAAGAAAATAAAGAAATATAAAGAATCAAGAGCAAGAGAGGTCGTTGTTTAATTTTTAATAATCAGTTCTTAAACTGCTTGATTACCCCCAGAGAGTATTGCTTATTATTTTTTAAAAAGCAATCAACAGTGAAAAAATTCGATGTCCCGTGAAAATTTTCTCGCCAATTGTGCTCCCATTGTCTTTAAAAATAATTTAAGGGCTATTGATTGCCATTGGTGATCGCGAGCGGGTAAAAAGTTTTTTTACGGAACCACAGTCGACTGGTTCAAACTTGGGGAAAAAAGTCAAGCGTAGTTCGAAAACAATTCGGTTTCCCGAACAAAGCTGAAAAAGAAATCGTTTTTTGTTCACGAATTCGGAATTCTTCCTTTCAAATCTTCGGTATCTATCAGCAAATCTGTTACGTACTTTTATTTATTTAATATTTTTTACCTTTTTTTAACCTTTCTTTTAGACGTTATTTTTTTTTTTGATAATTCACTTAAATTCATCGACGAAAGAAAGAGAATTAAAAGTACATCGAATTTAACCTTCGAACTTTTCCATATTCATTGAGAGACTCGTTCAAGTACATTTTACTATTACCGATTCATAAACTTCATTTCTATTTTTCGTCATAGTCTATTCGAATTCCTTTCTAGGAATGAAATAGAAACAGTTGTCATTTATTCGACGTTTTCTCTTTCTTTTAAAATGGCGTAATTTATTTTTCGATATAAAATCCACTTTGAAACGTCAATAAGCATCTTACTCGTTACTTTCAATTCTTTTCGTTCTCGAACGAATGTCTTGCTAGAACAGTTATTCAAAACTGATACCTCATTATTTTCAACATCCCTTGTCGATTTCCTATTCCTTTATTCTTTGCGGATTATTTACAGAAAAATCTGGTTACACGTTAACTATAATGAAAACGACGATTCGTTTGATGATGATGATGATGATTATTATTTTTTTTTATTTTCATGAACTTACTTCAAATCTTTAATAATCTCTCTATTATTATTAATTATATATGATGGGAACAACTTGACTTGAATCGTAAAATAATGTAATATCAGATTTATAAAAATTGTTAAGCTTAAAATTAAAAATATTATCGAATTCGATTCTATTATCGAAGTTAATAAAGTTATTTGCGTGAAAGATAGTTATAATTTTTGATACTAATTTTTGATACCACGATAAGCGCTACTAAACAAGTTTCAAGTTTCGCTTTAGAAATAATTTTTTTCAATGCAACGATCAAAGTAAATAGAAATATTCATATAATTCTTCCCACTAAATGCTTCTAAAGCAGAATTAAGAGGATCTTGAGGAAAAGTGTGCCACTTATCTTTCATGCTTTTAAAGCTTATTTTAAAGCTCTTTTATTCCTGGTGAATTACAAGAAACTGTAATGGGATAAGATTAAAAAAAAAAGCTGATATATGTACCTTAATATAAATTTAACGAAAAATAGATGAAAGATGTAGGGAGACACGTATAAAATATTTTAATAATGTTTAATTCAGTTTTTATCGTTTTCAATTTGATTTAATAGAACAAGTTTACCAAAAAAAAACACACGATGCAATGATTTTTATTGCTTCTTCCTTTGCTTTCATCTACGTGAGTGGTTTTTTTTTTTATCAAAACAAAATTTAATTTCGTTCGAAATCCATTTTATTTCTCGTTTACCATTGTTTAAAAAGTATTTCACAATAATTAAAGCGTGCACTCCTATAAATTTTAATCTTTCATGCTTTTGTCCATTCCTCTCAAGTTCCTAAAAACGTTTAAATTAGTTGATAGTTTAAAAGGATTAATGACGAAATAAATAATAATTAAACTTTTCACGATATGTATTAAATATTCTGAAATAAAGCTTCAAAGAAAAACAAATTTTTCCGCAATACAAAAATATTTCCTCATATAAATTCACTTTTTTCGGATTATTTCACCAATTCGGTTCACTGTTTGTATCGAATATATTTTTTTTTGTTGGCAGATCACCCATATCGAAGGAAAAAGATCAATTTCAACGTTGTGGATACAATAATATCCAGGAAACTGTCAGAGATAAAAAAAATAGTGTAAATGGAAAAAGATTTTTTTATGTATCACACAAAAGAACAACTGTTTATTTAACTGATAACATTTAAATTCCGCTAGAAGGAAACATTAGAATTCTCTATAAATCGTTTGAAAATGCACAAGTTTTACATATTCCTGAAATATTTAAAATTACATTTAACAAATAAATATTTCAGCATTTTATTAATAAGATTCACTAAAGATTAATTCAACTCACGACATATCGAGAACTTGGTTATCTTGTAACTGCGATATCTAATTACGAACAATTCTATACCATTTAATCATCACATCTGTTAATCTTCATTCCGTTGGTTAATCTCGACCACTATATAATCATTTTCGCACATTTCGTGAAATTCTCAGGTAATTCTCAACGAGACACTCGAAATTAGTCAATTTACGATATTCGAAATCCTGATTAAAAGAAACCAGAGTTTATTTTATTGCGCAATTTGACATTTCTAACTTTATCACCTTCCAAGTATTATAATTCATCGGACTTGAACAGCCGCAGAAACAGATACATATCCAGCGACACGATCATTAAGCAAGCTGGTAAATTAGAAAGCATGTAGCGCCACCATTTTGGAGGTTAGTTTTTGTTTTGTCATCTGTGGAACCCGTAGCGCTGTTCTCGAACTTGTGTCACACCGCAGTTTAAATCACGGGATGTGGATTAGCATAACGAGTAAGCATGGTGTATAATGCACAATGATAATTTGCGTTCAACTTCCTGTGCAATTTAGATATCAGATTGCTAAAGGGGCGTTCTATTAAACTGGACACAGGAAATATCATCTGATAGATGAAAAAGTAGATTTACGAGGTAGCGTGCCATATTTCTATTGTACGATGCGTAATAATGAGGTTATGTTGGAATTACTCGATATTCGATTATTTATCTTCAAATCTTCAAATATATTTTTTAATAATAACGATTACAATTTCCAAGAAATCATTAGAGAGATCGATAGATTTTTTCAAAACGTAAAATTTAATATTCTATATCCAAAGAAATTTGCAATACCGTATTTAATTATTTGTTTAATGTATATTATTTATTAAATTATAATTTTTAAAATATAACTTTAAAATCTATATATCTTCTGGAACTTGAAGATACTTAATGCGTGTTTAATTGGAACGAAGAATCGTACGATTACGTACATTTTTAAAATCACACGTGTATTATCTTGGGAAACGATGGATCGGATCGATATTATTCATCGCATGACTCGAACTTCTTTTATATTATGTTTTTCATATCAATCCAAGTATGATGGACAACAAGAGACCAACCGTGGAATCGACTGAATAAATTTTAATTTTCCAAGCCGCCAGCTTATTCACCTGTACGTACGTAGATAACAAAGTTAAATTAACTAGGCAGCTATTCTTCCATTTATTCACGATTGTTCCTTTTGTATATTAGTTCTTTCAAACTTAATCACTCTTTTGTTTAATTATTGGTAATGAATCGACAATAAAATGAAATATCGTTTTTTGCCCATATATTCGCAACTTTTTTCCATGCCTATTCATGAATCAATTTCGTATTTTAAAGTGACAAGTTGAATCAACAGCATCGTACGTATGACAGGTTAAAGAAACTTCTTTGGGTTATTCGCAATGTTACAATGTTGGACGGATATTTAGAGCACGGGTAACGAGATCAAGAGGATAACAACTTGCGACATGTTTAATCATTACTGACCAAAAAAGGATGTTTCCAGTGAAACGAGAAATTCCAAGTAGCCTGACAGGAATAAATCTAATATTTATTATGATATATATTTCGTATAAATAGGATAATCATTTATTAATTTTTCCATTTTACATTGTTCGTGACGATTTTATGAAAAAAATTCATTTAATTTAATATTCAATCTTATCTACAATCTTTAATAAATATTTTGTATTTGCAGAAAGGTGATAGATCGTTTCCACAATTATATTGCCATTTTGAAGAGTTATCGCGATAAGATAATGCCTCAACTATGGAAGGTGTTCGAGTAGTAGTCGTCTAAGAGCTTTGGGATTCATTTTCAGAATATCAAACTGGTGTGTAACACCGTGCCAAGAGGGATACTCGAGAGTATTCCTAATAACAATAGATAATAATGAAACATTGGGATCAGAATATATTTTAATTATCGTTGATCGACATTTAACTATATTAAATAGAAAATAAAATTTACAGATGCGATATTTGAAACTCTTTGAAATTTAAAAAGGTTTATAGAAGTATGTATAAATTTCTTGATATTTTTTTTTCTCATTCGATTTTGAGAAATTATCAAAAATTTGATATTCGTAAAATCGTTCAAGATATCGTGATATCAACTAAAGATTTCTTCGTTATAATAATTTTCCACGATAGAAGAAGAAGGTCGGAAAGGGATGATCGACACGTAGAGATCTAATGCAAATCTAATACAACATGGAACAGATAGGGGGATTACAATTAAGCCGAATTACAAATGCCACGTACGTCCAATATTGTACTACAATATTTGTACTTCATCTCTCGTATACGGCATACACGCAATGACAGATTCGACATTATTAATGAAAATTTCAGATTGACAGGTTAGAATACGTTCGACCTATTGGAATTTTAAAACAGGGACATAGCATTCAGAGTTGGAATTTTTTTTAAAGGAATTGTGCAGAAATTGGCGCGATTCTTATTATTATTTTTTTTCTCGATAAAAATGAAAAGAAAAATTGCACAAGCGATAATCAAATTCAACAAAGAGGGGAGAAACGAGCGAATTAATTCCCCGGAATCTAATGGAGAACGATTGTCGGTGATTAAAATATAAATGGGAAAAGGTCAACAGTGAAACGATCGGTGTGCACAGGATTTGAATTGTGCCCGTGGCGCAAATGAAAACGAATAATTCATTAACATTCACCAGTTATTCCCCCGGTTATTCGATATCGAAAGTACTTTTTGCTCCGCCCCTCATCTCTCATAATTCTCCGCCGAAAATGCTATATTCCGAATTTTCCCATCTCTTACTTGCTCGCACAACGTACAACGCGTTACAGGAAATAACGAGCCGACGTTACAACATTCGAAATTTCCCGACTTAATATTTGCACCATCGTGCTAATTGCAATTTCCTCTTAGAAAAAAATGTCGCGTGCTTGCATTCTCTTTTTCTTTTTTTTTTTTTGCGAATTGAACTATAGCTGCAACTATAAACAGATGATTTATACAGTCATCGAAGGATAATCTTTCTTTCTTTTTTTTTTTTTTTTTATAATTTTATAAAAGTATAGGCAAATTGAATATACATCTGTAAACTATCCATTTGAAGATCTTTCTTTTCTTTTTAAAATTCGTATCGCAGTATAAATTGTAACGCAGTTGTAATGAAAAGCACGTTTGAACGCCTGTCTGAGCGAGGCGTGTTCATCTGCCGTAACGGTTTAGAGCGTAAAACTTTGTATTTTTATGCGGCCTTTATTACCAGGGCTTGTTTCCTAAGCGCCTCGCTTATAAAATTCGCGTTACACAGTGAATTACATCGAACGTATTCCTCCACGTTCGCGTTAACGCCTTCGAGAAAACGTATTGAAAACGTTCCATAAAATATTAACTTGAAGATATTATTTACGTTAAAAAATATGTCATTAACAAAGAAAACAGGATAAATTGTATAAGTATACCCGAAATATATAATCTTGCAAAGGATTTCTTTTCAGAGAGAGAGAGAGAGAGAGAGAGAGAGAGAGAGAGAGAGAGAGAGAGAGAGAGAGAGAGAGAGAGAGAGAGAGAGAGAGAGAGAGAGAGAGAGAG